TAGTATAGCTTATATTTACTATCTGTTAGCTATATATATTTTTTTAAAATAAATCATACCAGTTTATTATATTATCCGAATTTTGCTTTGTGTAAATCTAAAAATCGTTTAAACAATTACAATTAATCAGCAAAGTTCGCTAATCTATTTTTTTTTCACAAAAGATCGTAAATGAGACCCGGATCAGTTATATTCTACCCGGGTTTGACGGGTAACCTTTGTATCCAGGTAGACCTGTTGGTCTACCCAGGTTATCCGCAGGTCTACCCACAGGTAACCCGGGTTGTATTTTTTAGGACAGGTACAATCACTACTTTAGAGGTTAGAAGCACAGGTGTAAAGTTTGTGACAAATGCAATTATCATTTACATCTATATTGTAAAACGTGCAAAAAGTGGCAGATAGAATATATAAGTGATGTGAATTTGAAAATTTTCTAAAGGAAGAAACGAAACTTCGAGTCCAACAAATTTATTATATCCTCAAATAATTAAAATCAAGCAGAAATCTACTGTTACTATCGATCTTACACCTCTTCAACATAAATAATAAAAGATTTTATTTTCAAGTAATATGTAAAAGTTATTGGGCACGAAGTGCTTAATAATTGAGTTATTTGCTATATGATATTTGATTAGTCGATTTAAGCACCGAAGATGCTTAAAATTCGATTAGTCAAATCATATAGCAAATAACAGTAAGGTATAATAATGTTCTAATACTAGTAAAGCACGATAGCGCTTTAATAGAATTAGAACACTAATGTACCATAGTTATGAGTACTTTGTGCTTGAATAACTGGGTTATTCGGCATTTATATTTATTGGATTTTGCATACTAACTGTTGACTGATTTGAAATTTTATTATTTTTATGCATGTGAGTTACGCACGTTGTCCGAATATATTTTAAATCTGGTATGATAATGTGTGTAACTCACGTGCATAAAAATGATGCCGGATAACAGTTTGTAAATGCAAAATCTGATACATAGAAAATGCTGAATAAAAGTAGATATTGTAAAACATGCAAAAAAGTAGCTGATGGAATATATAGGCAATGTGAATATAATAATTTTCTAAATAATTATTAACAAAATAAATCAGAATTAGCAATTTTGTAATAACAATAACGATAACGGTAGTTTAAGTAGAATTTATCGTCATCGTTATACATAATTTGTCTGAAATTCCATATGCAAAATTTATCTGTACATATAACCTTACGAGGCTTATCATTATGCATATCTTGTTTGTGAGACAGGGAACTTACTCGTTTTACTTTATCTTTGAACTTTATATGTTCTAATCGAAATATTAATGGAATCAGTCGGAAAATTGAGTATGGTAAGTGGTAGAAACGATTTTTATCTTATTCTTCCTTTCAAGTTTGGAAAAAGATAAATAGGAACTGTTATTATATCTCGCAACTGTCATGTATGTTTCACCAACAACGAATTGGTATGAAGTATAATCATATTTAGTGTTCTGGCAAATCTGAAACATCTTGCCCAAGCAAAATTTTTTGTGCTAACAAAATATTTTAGACTTCAAAAAGCGCAGAATTACTATATATTTGCAGGTTGAACCGAAATTATTTCGCTTATTGGTAAAGTATTTCAGATTTTGGAAAGTAATTTAGCCAGAAACACTAATTACATTACTTTGATCCACAATTATCAGGTCGCCAAGTTATTAACCCCTCTAGCTCACCCCCAAAATTTTTTCCGGCATGTGTTTTTAGCCAATTAGATTGAAGGATCAGGTGTAATATGAAAATTATGCCTTTTACAAAAATCGCCAATAACTCAAAATTTTGTTTATAAAACTGCTTTATATGTTCTAACAAAAAAAATTCCTTGCAAAATTTTGGTATAATCTATGCCCATCCCTTGACCTTAATCCTAACCCTAAGATAATATTTATTGTTCGCTTATTCGATTGTTTTGTTTTTGCGTATTTGATTGTTTTGATTTTACGTTACACCTGATCTTTCGATCTAATTGGCTAAAAATCATGTGCCGGAAAAAATTTTGTGGGTGAGCTACTAGATATCAAGATATTTCTCAAATCATGGGAGAATCAGCTAATCAGATTAATAAAAATAACTCATATGAGCGGTCATATAGTACAGGCATTACAAGGAGAAAAACCCAATATAGGCAAACTTTATTTATTTTCTTTTCGCTATGGTGCGTGGCATGCATGTCACAGGTGCGAAGTATTTTAACAATTACATATTTAATGTCATCCCAGGACAAACCCATAATTAGGAATCATATAGGTGGATTTTTTTGTATTACTTTCAAAAACGACCTAATTCTGGTCAAATTTGCAGATTATTTGGCCCTGATTTATCAGGTTTAAAACTGATAAGCCAGGGCCAAATAATCTGCAAATTTGACTAGAATTAGATCATTTTGAAAATAACACAAAAAAATCTGCCTATATGTGTAAAATTACTGTAATTTTGTATAGTTTTACATAATTTTGAATAAGTTCATAAATTAGTTTTTCATGTAATTTGTAATTTTAAACACATGATATTAGTTTCTGAGATCAAATTTTCAGTGATTGAGGAGTTACAATTCAGATCATATATTTAAATCAAATGATGCATAATGTTAGCTGAACTTTTGTAAAGCTAGTATTGTAACACAGTCCTACCCGTAATAGAGGATAGTGAAAAAGTTTTAACTTTTCAAGTTGGAGAAAAGAAAAATGCTAAGACTTTGACCGTTACCAATGGTAACAGTTTTTTGGCAAGAAAAAATTTTTGATCAAACACAATTACCGTAAACTGCCATATACAGGATCCCCCCATATATCAGACCCACCTCTATTTTTTACTAATTATTTTTTTTTTTTTACTAATTAATTTTTTTGGTGGAATGTAAGAGACCCGGGTCTTTTATATGGCAGTTTACGATATGTATGAACAAATAAAATTACACAATATATAAAATTATAAAGCCTAATTAATACTAGTAGACAGATAAGATACTTTTATTATTTTTTCAATGATATGCAGAAAATCAAATATGAAATTTTATCATATATTGCAAAGTTGTAAATGTATATATGAATTGTTAGATAAACATGATTTACCTGAACCATTCATAACGAAGTACATTTTTTATATTAATGCTTTTATCTCTCAAACCGTCTAAAAATTTCTTTCCAGCTTCTGAATTCACCATATTAAGATCTCTAAGCATCTTTCCAAATTGATACAAATCAGATTTTTTTTTATACTCATTATGCTCTGTGAGTGTTTTATTGTCCCAATCCTTCAACCGTTTAAATGTTACTAATCCATCCACATTAGCATGTTTAAAATCGATAAGAACATATTTACAATCTGCATCACCAGGAATAAAGAGAATATTTGGTAGTCGGATATCACAATAAATGTAACCTCCTTTATGTAACCAGTTTAGCCCAGTGAGCACACTTTGTGACATTGCACGTGCTTCATCTTCGTTTCTCAATTGACAAACATGACCTCATGTTTCTAACACAACTTTGTAAATTCCTTGTCTACTAATGCTGGAGCCTTCTTTTACTTGAACAAGCCCTGGATGACCTTTTGCATATTCATACATTTCTGATAAGAAATTAATACAATCATCCAAATTTCCAACAAATAGAAGATATTCCACTGAGACCCTTTTCTCTACTGAGTCACTTAAAATTGTAATCATTGATTTTTCAGTTTACAACCATTTTCCAAGAGGAACAATCATTTCAGGAATAGTATTGCCCACAGTCCTTATTATGCGTGCAATATTAACCACTATACAGAGGATAGAAACACGGTCTTGGCGATTATTCACATCTAGTTGATTTGAAAGTACAACTAAACGGCTTGACAGATTTGTGTTTGGTGATCCATCAATTGCGAAAAAACACAACCTTGTTTCTGCTGCGGCATAACAAATCATAAACTGTATATTTCCAAAATACATATAATCAAACTTATTAAATTTTTCTTCAAGTTTATTCTTAGCTTTTGAAAAATCCTCAATTACAGCCTTCTCTTCGCCTTTAAGCAAAAGTACATTGTTTGTCCAGCATAGAAAATCTGGTCTTTTATTACCATCCTTACTATTCCGATCCATTTCAATTGGAAGTATTCCTCTGCCAAGATTCTCATGAAAAATCTGGAGTGGAATTCTAATAATACTATCCATTCCTCAGTGCAACATATCTTCTGATATGTTATTTAAATTTTGCTTTTCAACTATGTCAGTAAATAAATGAGAAATGTGTTTTGATAGGTTACTTTCGCATTCATCATTTTTTGTTTCAATAAAATCAGCAAGCTGAGGAAACTTTATCTCCTCATAGAAGGATACAGACAGTTTCCAAGTTAATAGCGCATTAATAAGAGACGTAAGATCCCCTGCTCGACTCGGGACAGAGCTGAATGGTTGAATAAGAGCATTGCAGATTATGCCAGTCCTGTCAATTTGCATTTCATCATAACTCCGTTTTGCTACAAAAAATCCAGATAAATGTAATTGTGTCAAGTCACTACACGTTAAATAATAACATGCATTACAAAAAGTTTGACATTTGTTTGAGGATAAAAAATAAAACCCGACTATCGAAATTTAGGCCATTTCGCATTTATTACGTTGACTAAAATTATTACAACTCACTATCAATGGGTTGCTCTACGATAACGCAAATGTGTTTTTTGGGCCGGTTTGACGATAAGAAGCAGCACAAGAATAAGTAAGTATTCGGTATTATTGGCGAATATGACAACGAAGACGAAAAAATTATGCTATATCATATTGACTAAAAACTTTTGACTCACTGGTGGCAACAGGAACTCTAACGATAACTTGAATGTTATTTCCTTGAACTCCATGGAATGTGTTGCCAACTTTTTGCGTTGCGAGTTTTATTTCATTTTTATTAGTCATTAAACCATCAGGAGTGTTACTCTTCAAATGAATTTCCTCAACATTAACACTCCATAAACTAAGGTTTTTAGCCTTTACGTTGTCAGGTACACTAATTTCCTCGAAGATAGCCTTCTTTAGGTCAAAAATAGAATTATTGTTTCTAATGATAACGGAGAAATAACTACTTCCGTATTCAAGGCACCAAAGGGTAATAGGCGTACCATCAATAGACATTTATTGCACGGGTCTTATGTAACAACCCGTGCTTTTTCACTCATTTACAGCACGTGTTTAAAAAAAATAAATACTATTTATTCCCTGCTTCACAGGAAATAAATGCGTTATTCTCCCACTTTATTAATTGACGGCTGGAGGCTATTTCTCTACTGAGTTTAAAAATAAATCATTGCAAAAATAACACGTAAATCCCCATAAAAAACAATTAATAAAGTGGAGAATAACTATTTCATATTTTATCAAATATGAAAGTGTTCCGATTTAGTTATTTTATTATCATTATTAGATCTTTATTTTTTTAAATTATCATTGGATAGTGTTAGCATCATATTTTTTTTTTTGGTGATGATCATTATATAATTAGTCAGTTCTTTAAATTCATATTAAATAGAATTGCACATTTTTAGATTTTGCATTTTTTTAAAAATTTCTATCGCTTTTTTTAAAATTCTTATTAGACAAAATTTCGTTTTTAGCGTTTACTTTAAAATTCTTGTTGGACGAAGTTATATGTTATTAATTTTTACTTTCTTTAAATCTTTATTAGATTAGTTATATATTATTAAATCCTTTTCTTTTATAATTTTTAGTATACTGAATTACTCATTATTAAACTTCTGTTTTTAAAACTATCGTTAAGCAGGTTATTTATTATTAAGTCTTCGCTTTCTATATTACACTAAACGGAATCATGTTATTTTATTTTCATTTTTCATTGAATGGGATTCTTTATATGATTAAAGTTATGTTTTTTTTAAAAAATTTTTTGAATAAGGTTATATATAATTAGAATTTTGCTTGATTAGATTTAGTTCTTCCCTTTTTAAAAAAATTCTTATTGGATAGAGCCTTCATAACATCAACATTAAAATTGTCCTTTATTAATGTGAAAGGTGTCGCATGAGTTGTTACATCAGACCCATGCAATAATATAGTTATTATATGGGATTGCATAAAATAACTAAATTTGCAAGGGTCAACCCGTTTTACATGGCCTTCGGCTATGTAGAACAGATTTACTTATTTGTGCCAGTAATACAACCCAAAAAAGGAATTTTAATTTGTAAATAAACAAAGTACGTAAAAACACAAATTTAGGCTTAGGACACTAGTGTTAGAAGCTATAGCCATAGACTATTGCTTGTTATATGTAAAATTTCATTCCCAACATTTTCAATTAGTGTACCAAGGTCAATTTAAACACTAGTTTTTGAGTATTTTCGCTTTTTTCTTCTTTCGTATGTGTTCAAAATTCATGCAGGCTGATCCGGAATGATCAAAATTTGAACTCACTGATTGGTTATTTACTTTTTAGGAGCTTATATTACTGGCACAAATAAGTAAAGCCTATGTGGAACTGGTCAACTCATGTAAATTTAGTTATTTTTCAGCTACCCCAGTAAGACTGTGAAAGATCGATAATATGCATCAATTAGATGATCTGCACTAATTAAACAATCAAATTTTTAAAGTAATAAAAACCTACATTAGAGTTGGGGTTGTGACTGAAATTATGACTTATCTATACTAAAATTTTACAGAGAATTTTTTCGTTAGTGTATAGTAGGTGGTTTCATAAAGAGGTAATTGTTAGAAAAGATCTGATTGGTGCATCTGCAATGATCTTTCATAGTTTCACTGGAGTAGCTGTTATTTTCTACAACCCATACTATAACTTATGTATCACAACGATAAATGAGGAAAGAAAAGAATTTTTTTTGCAGAATAGGAGAATAAGTTAGTTTTATAAAAAGATCACAGATCTGATCAGTGATACAATCAATTTATAGGTACAGTAGTAGGAATTTAGAAAAAAAAAGCAGTTTTCTGTGTGATAAAATAAGTTAATAAGTTGATCACAAGATAGGTTTGTGCAATATAAGTATGCCAACCTTTAGTCTATTTTTTTCTGATCTACTTATAAATTAATATTAACGTCAAAACATATATTGTGAACTTACAAATTAGCTAGGGTAATCCCAAAAGTTTGGGTCAGATGATCTGCGCACAGCCACTGCAGCCCGGGCATGATCACATGTTAGGTTGTGATTGGCTGACATCGAATCATATGATCTATTGATCTTCGATTCTCACTATTACAACATTATCATTACGTTCCTTTCTAATAATTATAGATCAAATTCGAAATACTTGTTTTCTTATAGACATTATTAATATTTACAAAAAGAAAATTGCTCATTGTGGTATGAACTATATTGTATGCTTATATATCTTCGTCTTATTATGAATCTAATCTTTGTTAACATTTACTCAAAATCTCTAGTTTAAAATGGTATATACAATCATGAATTGTGAATAGTTCAAATTGATAAGTATTTTATAAACAAGCGACAAGTAAAACACAGTCTCTTTATCAGGTTATTTAAATTATATTTTTATTTGTATTTGATTAGTTTGTTATTATATAGTTACAAATTACTAATTTTTTCAAAATTATCTAACAATCCTTTTACAAAATCACTTATTATCTTCAATAACCATTAAACCTACTGTATCATTAATTATTATACTCTCTGTTATTCCTGATTTACCCGAGCATAGTAAATACATCAAATATAGCTTTGTTGCAGCCAGATTTCAGGTTATCTGTCGATGCCTTTTTTGTTTCACCAATTGTATTTCTTCTTCCATCAGTGCTAATTAGCTCCATTCTATCATATCACAGAGGTGATGCCAAATATTAGCCGATCGTTCAGTATATATTTACTTCATTGCCTGTTCAACTAAGGACCAAGTCACTTCAATATAAGAATGAACATTCTTTTCAAAGTCATCATTAATATCAACAACTTCTTCAACATCAATATCAACAACTTTTTCAAAAACTAAATAGAGGTGGTAGCAGTCATAAATAAAGAACTTTTTACAACATTATCACTATTTAGATTCTTTATAATAAGGAAAGGCAGAGTGGTTTGGCACTTAAAATTTTTCTTAATTAGTTATCGTCTTTTTCTATCAGTCATATTTACAACCTATCAAACCAAGTGCTTACATATTAAAAATGACTTTCAACAAAGGCAGAACAACTATATATTCAATATGAAATCTTAGTGAAATATATGCCAGCTGCTTCAGTTGTCCTTATATTGATGTGCTTCCTTTTGAGTATAGCAGAAGTTTGTTTTGATTGTTAATATGAGAATAAATATAATTGGTGATGATCTTTTTTTTATATAATCAATTGTAATTTTTAAAGTACTTTTAATAGTAAAAATCGTTGTATTATATGAAACTTTTTTTTTGTAATACAAAACATAACAACCAACATGAGTTGTTGGTAGTTTACCTTTAAACTTATCGTTTTTTAACCTGAGATGCAATAAGATGCAGTAGCTTCAAAAACTAGATGAAATATGAATATTTTAAAAGGTCGAAAGATAGTTTGGCAGTTTAATCAATTAGTAAATAAAATTTAGAAACTTTGCTTCAACTAGTTTTATAGTTTTTTTATAAGTAAAAAGTATTTTGAACTATTATTCTAAGCTGTATTTTGAACTGTATTTTAATATTTTTTTATTCTATTTTATTATTTAGATATAAGTATAGTTTCTGAATATGACATTTATAATACAATATAAATAATAGTAATAGTGTTTAGGAATGTTGTGTATATATTATTTAATAGACATTTATATGTATTTATTTTGAAAAAAAATAAAAACTTTGTAAAATCTAAATTAAAGCTATTATTATAAAACTGAATTAGTGTATTGTAACATTTTAATATATGTTTTTTAGAGTATTATTCATTTTTTAAATTATTAGTTTTCTAAAAGTTTGTAAATAATAAAATTTTTATTTGGAATTAGCAGGTATCCTATCTGGAGTATGATCAACAATTTTTCTGATGTATCTCAACAACTAATTAAAACAAACTTCTGTTATGCTTTTTTCTTGCTTTTGTTATATTTATTTGTACGCCAATTTTCATTACTCGCTCCTAAATAGTTCTATTCTCATTTGAAATCCTCCTATTAATATGGATTTATTGTATCATTTAAAATTTATAAAAGATTATCCTTTCATGTTGGTATCACTTCATTGAGTAATATCTAAAACAGAAGATTTAACCTATAATAATATTATGAATCGAAACAAAACGTTTAATTAATTAGTTGGCTAATTATTTTTTATTATTAAATAACTGATTAATCAATTAATTAATAGTAATCAATTAATCAATTAGTTGATTAGTTTAACTAATTAATTTATTAGTTAATTAACAAATTTAATAATTAATATGTTTTCAAAATTTTAATCAATTAGTTGTCAATTTAGCCAACTAAAAGATTATCAATTTTGATTTATATTATTGTTACAGTACCATGATCTTCTTAACAGCAGTACTATAATAATGATATGGCTACAGGGATCCTTTACAGGTTTATAGCAGTGTCCAACAGATAAGTATAATTACTGCTTCTTGGAAAAACTATACCCTTCTGACTGTAGCAGTTCGGACAGACAATAGTTTATAGATAAAATATATGTTTATTAAAGATAAATAAGATAGGCTATCCTTAGGTTT